TAGTTGAGGGATCATCAGATTTTTGCACAAGTTCTTCAGGTAGCTCCCCAACAAGAAAATGAACATTTATGCTAGTCTTTTTGTTCTTCTTTATTTTCATCTTCTCTTCATGTTTAAGGGCAAGGAAGTCTCATACCTCCAGGATGTCTGGGATCCAACTTGTTCCATGAACTGTCACAGACATGACCCATTGCATCCTTTTTAGTCACCCCGCTCTTCACATCTTTTTCCAAGGGTTTACAGTAAGTGGTGGCATGACCTCCTTCACCATAACAATAACAGATGAAGTTTTTCCTCGGTCGACCTTCATATTTTCTTATTTTTTTGTTTCCTCTACCACCATTTTCTCCATTCGTTCTTCATTTAAACGAGTCATCTCTCTTTCCACAACCATCATCATCATCATCAATTTTCCCATCCTCACTTTCTGCCTTCTTTTTCCCTTTCCCATCTGGAGTAGGAATTGCAGGCATATAATTTTCCATAACTCATATTATTCTCTCTATTCATACCATTCTCTTTTTCCCAGTCCTTAGCCAGAAAACTGATCTGATCTAGTGATCCTCCCAACCTGACAACTGTACTTTCCCGTTTTTAGGGGAGGGCAGCAGAGGGAAGGAGCACGCCGTTGGCAGACAACTGCATGCTCCTGGCTCAAATCATGGCCAGGAGCATTGCAGTTGGAGGAGTTACAGTTTTCTTTATTTTCTTCTTAATTCTTTTTTCTTTTTCTTTGCTGCCAGAGGCAACTGTCAGGTTCCCGTTGTTTAAGAAAGCCTGGAAATTGAAGGGCCACTAAAGAAAAGGCTAGGTACAGCCTTTTCCCCGATGTATCTGCCCTGAGAAAAAGGTCCAGATACATCAAACTGAAAGAGGTTGTATCTTTCCAACCCCTCATCAGAAAAATAAAAGAAAAACAGATTTGGAAATGGCAGGAGCCCAACTATCTCGAGAGATTTCGAGATAGATGGGAAAAAGAAAAGAAAAAATAAAATAGGGCAGTTAAAGAAATTGCCCCGCACTAAGGCTGTGGCTGTGGTGCGGCCACAGTTAGCCTTGGATCTTGGCCAGAGCAATTTTGCCTGGGGGCTGGAGTGACGTCCAGCCCTTCTCAGCCACTATAAAACCGGCAGTTGTCCCCCAACTGCCACACAAAGCACTCGTGCTGTCATTGAGTGACGTGCACACTTGAGTGCTGCTTTGCTGCTGGGAGGCTGCCAGAGGCAACGTGGGAGGACTGGAATTCTGCAGAGGAGCGCGCGAGGAGGAGTTGGGCAGCTATAGCCAAGGCAGGGAACACTCAATTCCGTCCCCTCTTGCTGGTGCTGGTCCCTCGGGACAGACCCAGTGACGCTGCGGGACTACGGCAGTGCGCCACAGTGAAATTTGGGCCTGGGGTCCAAATTTTACTAATTTTGGCCGCGACCATTTTCTCACTGCGCTGGGGAAGTGCTGCCATATTTTTGCAGCGGCGACACTAAGATTTACGGCGGTGGTGCGGAAGCGCCGCTGGAATTCTGCGGCGGCGACACGGGTTTTACGGCAGTAGTACGAAAGTGCTGCCGAAATTTTGCGACGGTGACGCGGGTTTTACGACGGTGGTACGGAAGTGCTGCCAAAATTCTGCGGCTGTGACACTAAGTTTGACGGCGGTGGTGCAGAAGTGCTGCCAAAATTTTTTCACAACGATGGCACAAGATAACGACAGTGACAACAGTATTGGCGCAGTAAAGGTGTCACTGGAGAGGTGTATTTTGAGGTAATGTAGATTTAACGACGCAGTAACGAGGTGACGGCGGAAGTAATTGGTAGCCACGCTTACTGAAAAGTAAGTGAGGGGGTGTTGTGGCAGGCGGTCGCAGCAAGAGAGTGGTGTCGATCACTTTGCTGACAACTGGGACGACTACCTTCTCGTAAAAAAAGGGGCATAATTCTATACGGTCTTCTTGAGTGTGCCGTATAAACTTCACTCAAGGTCAGTGGACAGTCAGTTTGACTCAAACCCTTTCACGCCTGAGTGAACCCACACTTTGCTCGACCGTGTTCTTTGAATGTTCACTGAAAGGTAGAGGAAATGTGTGTTGGCGCGTGTGAATGTGAGTCTGACCTGAGTTTGGGTTTGCACTGTTTCTTTTGTTGAACTTGTCGTCTGATTTGACTGCAAGTGTCGCTGATTGAGATGGAAGTGGGTTGACCATGAAATGGCTAATGTTTGGTTGTTCTCACTTCTCCACACTTGTATGCATGTGTTAACCTGAAAGGGAAAGGAAACGACGAAAAAAAAAGCGATCACTAAGAAGAAAAACCTGAATGGATATAGAATTTTCCCAAGGTCACCGGCCCTTTCCCAAATGACCCTCTCCGTCTATGCCCGTCCCTGTGAATGACTTTCCTTTCTGTGATCATTCTTCGTCTAAGTTATTCTTGACGTCAGGCGGCAATAGGTCGTTCGCTCACCGTGGTAGATTCCTTCCCTTTTCCTAGGAGGCATCTGAGGCGGGGGTTCGTTGCCTTAGGGGTCGGCCTTGTTATCGACTCGGAGTAAACCGCTCTGCGGGGGGGTACCATGCTGTTGTGGTGGAGCCAGCCCGACTTCTGAGATCCGAGGTTCTCTCGGGCGAGGACGAGGGGTATCCCAGACCACGTCCTAGGGGAAGGATAGGCGTATATCCCAGACCACCTCCTAGGGGAAGGATAGGCGTATATTCATGGAAAGGCTTCTAGAATTTCTTGGCGCCTCGCATAAAGGAGAACTGTTGTAGTATACCCTTCTGGTAGCCATAGTAAGAGCCACTGACGCATGGGGAACTGGTGCCATAAGAAGCCCAGTTCATGTGATACTAGTTTAAGAAGAGTGCAGTTAGGCACACTTACCGCGGATGGTCGTGCCAGAAGAAGCACGAACCGAAAAGAAGAAGGATGTAAGAATTTAATGTAATTCTATACTTAGTAGTTGAAATTTTAATGTAACTACTCTCGTCCTTCTTTTCAGATTGCAGCAGAGATGATGGTCTGTTACCTCTTCCGCGATTGCGACGCAGCAGCAGAAAGGGTCGAGTCTCAAAGACGTAATGGAGAAAGATTAGAAAGAATAGGACGACTCGTCTACAACCCTTACGAACTATACTCAGAGGAAGATGTTCCACGGTTCTTGGATGGCAGTGCACGAAATCCTCCTAGGCGACTCATTTTCAGGTCAAGAACCGGACTGGACATACTTCACTACGAGTTCGCGCCGCCACTGCCCGATCACGACTTCGCCAGCATGAACTTAGTCGTGATAACCATGTGAGATAAATCCTCGAATGAACGAAATTCCGGAGATAAGGTTGACGTTCGTTCGTTCTGTACTTTGGTTAAACGAACGACAGGGACCTTTCTTCGGCATATATCATACAAAACGAGTGCGAGCAAACAGGTTTATTATTTCTAAGTGTTGAGCCATTCTCTGAGTATGCATGGCAAGACGAGGAGGACAAACTCGAAGAAAGACTACGCGACTAATGCAGTTTTGTTCTGATACGCAGATGCCCGGAGCTCGTCGAGATTTGACCATCCCGAGGTACCTGCTCGTTCGTGATACATTTGAGGACGATCTCATCAGAGGAGCGGAGCAGCTTCTACGGGTTCGAGACGGTTCTCCTACTGAGTGGATCGACTTCATCGGATTGCTCCGAAATGGTGAGGGATTCTTCCCTAATCCTCGCGCGGATTTCCGGACCAATATGGCTCCGACCTCGGATGAGTTCTTTGGATATACTTTGTATTTCCACCGCGCGAGCAATCTCCAATGTCTCTCTCGAGTCATTGTGAGCATTAAGATTACCTCGTCCGACAGACGTTTCGGCGTCCTTCGGATCCGGGATACAGAGACCAAACATTTGTTTGGACTAAGTCGGCCTCTTCGAGTCATAGTATGGAGATTGGCCTTACAGATGATCTCCTTTTATAGTACTCGAACCATTAGAATTATGCGAGGTGGACGAGCGACAACCCTGATTTTCAACGACGACGAGCTTGCGAGATTGGATTTATTGGAGGCTCAGGTGCGAGGCGGACGACAGGTTTACCAGGGTTAGACGCCGCTTTCTGGAAATCTTACACAGATTCCAGAAAACTCCTCACATAAACTAATCCCGTCGAGGAAGCCATGTTATTTATGGCTTCACGAGGTAATATCAAAACACAAATCAAAAACACATTATGTAGATAGGACTGTCAGATGGATAGTATCTGGGTGACACCGATGATGGCACTATCATGCTTATGCATTGAGGAGTAACCACATGCGTAAAAACACATGTCAGAAGCAAGAAGGAGACGATAGCGGAGGTGGGGTCGAACCGAGAGTTCAAACTTCGACCAGGAACCAGATCACTTGTTGATCTACATGGTAGCAGTGATATTTACTTGCAGAAGCTACCCATGAAAAGCTTCTGTAGGCACGACGTTATCCTAAATTTAGAACTTGGAAAAAGTTTAACTTTAGCTTAAAAGGCTTGAAATTGTGACGAGTAGGAAAGCTGATAGCATGGTTTTTTTTCGTTAGGGCATAATGTGTCATAGCGCAAAGATCGGGTCTTCGCGAGAGTGCATCTGCTGCGCGATTGAAGAGGCCGGCAAGATGTTTTAGTGTGAAGTCAAATTGGTCGATGAAATACATCCATTGTCCGATAGTGCTGCTCACCGTATCTTGCGTCTTGTAGTAGGCCAACGGGTTGTTATCAGTGACCCATGTGAACCTACAACGCCCAAGGAGGAAGTGCTGCCATCGCTTGAGAGCCATCACGAACGCGAGCAACTCCTTTCTTGCATCATCAAGTGAGTTGATGGGAGGCACTTTGTGGCTACGTACACCACGGGATGCGTTTGTCACTCTCATTGGCAAGGTGGGGTCGTAGATGCTTAGGACGGGCGCCATGAGCATGACCGTCTTGAGTGCTTGGAATGACCGGCGCGCTTCGTCGTCGAATACGAATGGCACCTTTGGTGATTGTAGTCTCGTCAATGGTGCGACAATCCTTGAGTACCCGGTGATGAAGCATTAGTAGTGGCCTGCCAACCCCATGAATGAGCGAACGTCCGTAATGTTGGTGGGCTCGGGCCATACGCGGATGGCCTCAATCTTGTCCGTGAGCGGATGGATGCCTTGCGGCGTCACATAATGGCCCAAGTATTCGAGCTTCTGCCGCGCGAATTCACATTTGTCACGGTTGGCTTTGTACTTGGCTTGTAGTAGCCGCTCCAAAACGGTGCGCAAGTGCTCCACATGCTCGTCCAAACTCTGGCTGTACACCAAGATGTCGTCGAGGTAGATGAGTACGAATCTATCCAGCATGTGTCGGAACTCCGTTGTCATAGCCGCTTGAATGTGGTCGGGGCATTCGTAAGGCCAAAGGCATAACCAGCCATTCGAAATGCCCATATCGCGTCTTAAACGCGGTCTTGTAGCCGTCCTCCTGCCGGATCTCGAGTTGGTGATATCCCGATTTGAGGTCAAGCTTGGAGAGGAATTTGGCGCCGCCCAGCCGTTCGAGGAGGTCGTCGATGCTCGGAAGAGGGCCGGCGTTCTTGATGGTTTGCGCGTTGAGCTTGCGATAATCGATGCACAACCGCAAATCCTTGTTCTTCTTCCGGACGAAGAGAACGGGGGCACCGTATGGCGAAGAGCAAGGCCGAATCCGGCCTTTCTCGAGAAGGTCGTCAAGTTGTGCCCGTAGCACACTTAACTCTTCCTCGCTCATGCGGTAGATGCAACCATGCAGAGGTACGACCCCGGCCTCGAGGATGATCTCGTGCAAGATGGGCCGATCCGGTACTACTCCGTGCGGGGCTTCGAAAATGTCACCATAGGCGTTTAGAAGCTTGGTGATGCGTAGGTCCGTCGATGCGTCCGTCGATGGGATGTCATGGGGAGGGAGGGCGTGGAGAAAACACACACCCATCCCCTCAATGTCGTCCCGGGTGATGGAAGCTCGAATGCTCGCAGCAGACACCACGTGACAGCTGATCAAAGGGTGAGGTGGAGGCACCGTGCACGGGACTAGTACTCCGTTCCGATCACGAATGTGAACGGTGCGGCGGTAGAAGTTCACCGGGTGATCCTCGCGCTGCAGCCACGACATGCCCAAAATCATGTCGAACTTGGTGTCCAGAATGTCGAAGCACACGGCCTCGCTTGCATGCGGGGCAAAGTACACGGGGACGGAATCAATGCACAGGTCGATTGACTTGTGCGTGTGACCGTCGGCCAACGTGACTTGCGTGGGCTGTGACTTCCTCCGAACGCGTGGCCCCAGGCCAGCGCGTACCAGGAAATCTTGGCTCATATAGTTGCAAGTAGCTCCGCAATCGATCAAAGCGTTGCAAGTCGCTCCTCCGATCTGAGTGCGTATGTACAACAATGGCGCGTTCTTGGTGCTGCCATCGATCAAGACACAACGGTCGAACATCCTCCCTGCCTTGGTCTTGGGATTGGGAGGTCTTGTGCTTGGTGTTGTTGCACCAATAGCAGCAGCCGTATCGACTGCGGTGCTTGTATTCGGCCTCGGTCAAGCTGAACTTGACCCATGGTATTGGCTGTCCATTTCCGGCAGGCGATGCTGTTTTCGCCTTCCCTTTTCCATGGGAGTTGATGTTGCTTCGCGGCTGGACGGCGGCCACCTGATCTCCCTCACGTGATGCTGGGGTGGCTGCCGGGTCTTCCACAAGGTTGTCCAGTTGGACTGCAGCGACGGGCTGCTGACGCGAACCAAAATTTCCTTTCTCCACATAGGCTGGCTGCCATGCTGATTTCTCATGTGCAGTAGCTTGGTTGGTCTAGATGATCTCACGAGCCTTGTCAATGACTTCAGCGAAGGTCGTGCATTGTTCGCAATCACCGAGTGTGAGGCTCAAGGCGGCACACGACCAGTTATAGAACTCGAGATTGGGTGTTGCCACGATCTTTTGCCATTCTGTAAGCCAATCGCGTGTCGGTGTGTTGCCTTGAGTCATGGCGAAGAGGCGGTTGATTGCGAGCGCCGGAGCATCGTCAACAATGAACCGCTTCTTCCATTCCTTCGTCACATCTTCCCAAGAGATCTTTTTGTGCAGGTCGGCGACCTGGACGCCGTGGATGGTTGCCATGTGGCTGAATGTGGCTGAGCCAGATCTGGCATCCGCCCTTGGCGTTGAGGAGCAGCGCCGAGATGTACAAGTGATCGGGGACCTGATGAATCCGAAGCTCCGCCGTAAAACCCTGCGCTACAGCTATGGCAGCGCTAGCTGCCTCTACCCTATCGCTACACTACACTTCTCTGCCCACTTCGTCTTCGGGCACACTGCAGACCGCCTCGCACAAGCTGCTAAGGCAGCGCTTCCGCCTGGCATCCGCAGGAATGAATGAATGAATGGACGCAGCCTCTTGATTTATACTTYTGTGCTGCATTGGTCTGCCTTGTGTCCCTGGCCCATGGTGCACWCAGTTCCCCCCGTGGTACTTGCTGGACCGGACTGGTACTTTCTAGACTCTCTCCAACATGGGCTTGCTTTAGTCACACCACTTGCCCACTTGCCTGCACCACTTGACCACTTGCCTGCACCACTTGACCACTTGCCTGCACCACTTGACCACTTGCCTGGGCTACCTATAGACCTACGACAGACCTACCTACCACTGGCGGTTCTACTGGTCGCAGGTTCTACTCTTCGAGTTGACGCAGGTATTGTACACAGGTAAGTTGGGGAACTAGGGATCGAGCCCTGGGATCTACCTCAGCTACCACGAATTGGTGCATACCGTTTCACTCCCGCCGGCCTAAATTCGAGGTCCTCCGAGAAAAATTTCAATTCAAGGCAGGACCTTTACCCTTCTGTTGTCTTTCGTAGGCCCGGACTATGAGTCATTCGCGATCCTTCCTATTGAATTTTTTCTTTTGAATTCTCAATTCATAGGTTACATGGTTTCCATGGTGTTAGTTCAATTAGCGTTTAGGTTTCTTTTCTCTTTGTACTGTTTCTGTGGATGACCCCTACCTCCAGTCCTGAATACATCTTCAGCCACTATGCCATCAATGTCGTATCTTCCATCCATATCCGGTGGGATCATGGACCTACGGGATGGAAACTGATCGCTCGTTTGACATGGTAACAACTTGGATGCGTGGAAAACTGGATACGTGTGGAGGTGGGCTGGGAGTTCTATGGTATAGGACGGTCCATCTTCGCCGCCTTTGACTTCTAGGACTGGCCACGGTCCTCTATAGGTGGGTAGTAACTTCTGCAAGATGTTCTCCTCAGGTGTAAACTCTTTAGAACTGACCCAGACTAAGTCGCCTACTTGAAACTGCGAGGGGCGACGATGCTTATTGGTTTGCTCTATCATCCTGTGCTGGGCCTTTCTGAGGTTTTCTACTACAGTAGCTAGTTCTTTTTCGTGTTGCACAGCAAACTCCCTGGTCCCGGGTGGCAATCTGTGAATCTGATCCCGGCTAAGTCCTTCAAATGGTCTACGGGGCCTAAAAGACTTGTGCAGTTCGTTGGGAGTGCGGCAGGTGGACAGATGCACACTTTTATTATATGCACTAGCTACCTTAGGTAACATCTCATCCCAGTTAATCTGATTTGGCCTAATCTACATGCGCATAACTTGCTGTAGGATTTTGTTCATTTGCTCTGTCTGACCGTTAGTCTCTGGATGGCGGCCGGACGACATCAACAACTTAGATCCGCATACTCCCATGAGTTCTTGCCAGTTCTGGTTGGTAAAGCGACTATCTCTATCGCTAACTATAGACAGCGGGATTCCATTCTCACTAACCCAACAGTCAAAGAACCTCTGTATGACTAAATCAGTACGCGCCTCAGAAGGCAAAGGAATAAAAACTGCGTACTTGCTAAAGCGGTCAACTATGACCATGACTTGGCTCTTGCCATGCCTGCTTTTGACTTGAGTGTCCATGAAATCTATTGACACTGAGTCTCCCGGCTGATCCGGAATGGGCAAGGGTCTGAGAAGACCTAACGGGGCACGCGTAGAAGACTTGTTTCGCTGGCAGACCTTACAACTACGAACATACTCTACGCARTCATTCTTCATCCCTGGCCAGGTATACGCGCGCATCAGATTGGCTAAGGTCTTTTGCCAACCAAAATGACCCTCTGTGTCGTGGCATTCTCCCAAGATCAGACTACGGATCTTTT